CAAAGATTCGAAATAAGATGCGTAAAAGTTTAATGAGGTTTGACCATTAAGTCACCATTAAGCTCGGCTTAAAAGTGGCTTAATGGTAGCTTAATGAAGTTTGGACATTAAGCACCTGTAAGTTGCAGCTTAATGGTGGCTTAAAGGAGTTAACTTCTTTAAGCACCATTAAGTCACCATTAAGATACCATTAAGCGATGGCTTAAAGGTGGTCTTTCGTCTTGTGATTTGTTTGAAAAATCATATCTTCAGGGTCGTAACTACCATTGAGGCAACGGAGGCAATTGCTTCCTCTAGATTTTCATTTTTTTTTGGAAATAAGAAACACAACACAAGCAGCTGAATCAAGATTGATCATTTATTTGTTTGATTATAGCCACCTGAGCAATTTTCAGCTATCCAGTGAGTGTCACCATTACCTATGCTCGGCGTTCAGGGCCTTTGAGCAGGAAGGGATCTTTATCGTGACACACCTGCTGTGACACAGGACCTCGGTTTTTTCCGTCTCATCCGAGGGACTGTCCCATTCAGTTGCTTCTTACAACACGCCATAAAAGTGAAATATTCTTGAGCGGGACGTAAAATTATAAACAATCTTACAACACGCAAGGAAGCAGAAAGATCCATCTTGCGTTCTCTGGTGATCAAAGCTAGACGATCACCGTTAAGCCTTCAGACAATATTGAAAATGGGAATTACGATTGAAATTCATTTGATCATATCTATCCAAAATAGTACATAAATACTAGGTAAAATAGGTAATATAATAAAGTGGTAAGCTTTCTCAAAATCAAGGAAATGGTCCAAAATTGAGCCGTTTGAAGCAAACACCCCCCGATCTTTGGGGGCCTCAATCGGCGGCCCCCAAACCCCCGCCTCCTCTATCTTTTACCCCTAGTTACGGCCCTGTTTGAACTAAACGAACCTTTGCATCGAATATAGCCTACCACACCTTACTGAAAGTCCAAGCACTGAGTCGGCAGTTTTATCAATAAACTAAAAATAAAGTCAAAATCAGTAAAATCTTAGCCATGAGCTTCGCTCACGAACTTTATTGATAAAACTGCCGACTCCTGTGGTCCAAGAGCTCTAGGTTGACTGAGAATTGTACTAATTTTACAGCCCTCTATAAAAAGGACTAGAATCATGAGAACATTACATTCGAAATATCGATTAGAATATCTAACTTTTCATATCATAAATCAAATAAATAAAACTTTAAAAAATGAAAGAACTAATTCCAAGAATTCTCGTCACACAAACAGCATACGGCTGTCGTATCTATCCGGGAAATATACTGCTGTGTTTGGTTCTAACATTACGTTGTCCTTAGAATTTCCCGTTTCGAATTTGGCTGTTTTCACACCAACAAGGTGCAGTAAATGTTTCCTAAACAGCTCAGTCTTATTTCGTACGAATAAGAAATAATGATGAAACGTAAACTTAACGATGGTAGAGGCGCACAGAATCCCGAGCAAAAGCGACCAAGAAGCCAGACCAGTTATATAGGAGATCCACGACTGATCCCACGTGTAAGACAGGTGAGGGACAGAAATGATGTTGATCACTATGATCAGTATTTCAAAGGTGTGTTTACAGTATGGAACAATTATAAATTCATGTTAACGGACATTTTGAAAAGGTTCATGTTTTAAAGTTTACCTTAAAATTACCCACAACTCTTTGGGTAAAAATTAAGCTGGTTGAACCATTGGCCATTTTCTCACACATGCACACATACAAAATAAAATTAAAAGAAGACAAAAAAATAGCCCATTCCTCAACAGGTATCTAAATAGGTAGAATAATATAACCTTGTCTCGGTACAAGCCCTCACCACAGTTAAAATATATCCCTTAGACTTGCAATGTAGCAAATCGGAGAGGATCCGCTCTGAAATGATTTTGAAGAATACAAAAAGTGGTTGTTTTTAAAATAACTACCAAATTATTCAAAACAAACCTTTTAAAGATTGTGTATGCCTTTTATCCCAACAAATAATCCATATAAAGATGAAATTCAACTAATTTTCTCAACATTTTTTCGCTTCAAATTTACACGCCGGAACTCTCTGGAATGTTGATAGTAAATGCATTGATTTTGAGTTATTGCCTGTGTTTATTTTGCTACATTGCCAATTTATACACAGAACAAATTCTTTCTTAAAACTTTGTCCGTAAGACAATATAATTTTAATGTTAGAATGTTCCAACTAGTATCTTAAACTATAGTTGTAAGACAAAAGGTAATCTTGTACTTCTAGATCATTAGAATATATTGTTTAATTAGAATATATTGTTTAATTCAAGAAACAAAATAAATATTGGCCAGCCTTTTTATTAATCAAAGAAATACAGAGTTGTAAAATTTTTGTCTTAGTCGTAAGAAGTTTTGTGAAAAGGGCCACTTGGATATAAAGGTCCCTGATTGAAGCAAAATTTTCTTTCATTAAATTTATTGATAAAGAAAGAGAATAGATATATAACCATGATTACATGGTAAAATTCATATCTAAAAATTATGTTCTTTATAAACATTTCTGTTATTTATGAAGTCATAATAACAGCACATTTGTTGGCTACAATGCATCATAATGTCATGTTATTTCCTTACAATGCATTGTGAGATATTTGTATGTGTAATCATGTTTCAGTATTTGAATGCTCAGAAGTCAAAAAACGTGAATCTGCGGTCAATGGCAGAGGACCTACAGAGGCAGTATGGGTAAGCTCAAACAAGTATCCTTGGGAAAATGCTAATAATTTATGAAGATAGAGTCTTATCATAAACTGATTCAAAGTGAGTATCATAAACATGATTTTAATGCTAAATCAATATATAAACTTGATATTGATAAAACCTGTTATAAGCTATGCTTCATTGTTTTCGTTTAATTGTAGGGAATATGGAAGAAAAAAGAAGAATGCATTTTATAAATCGGTAGAAAAAGGTATTGATTTGATTTTTGCTTTACTTTTTGAGTTGGCTCGCGTAGCGAGCTACTCTTTGTTGACGAAGCCGTTTCATGATCAGAACTGTAAAATTTTTCACGCATTCATCAAGGTGATCCATACGCCAGATATGATAGTTCTAACAAAAAATGCTTTTATTTGAGTGATTGTACAAACCATGTTAATCTAGGAGGTAAAAACTGTATAAAATGTCATAATGTTACCTTTTTTATTATGTCTTCATACTTTTCGTGAAATTTTTGATTAAGTATCTGTACATGTACAATTACTGCGTATGAATATATGTTCAAGCATGTTAGGCGGATCTAATCTTCCCATCTGAAGTTTATGTATACATGTAATTGACCTAGAATACTCCATAAAACAAACACCTGCTGCTCTCATTAGCTGCAGCTAGTGTGCTTGAAAAATCTATTTTTAGAATCCAGATTTGCTGTGGGAATCTTTAAACTTATTACTCCATAACACTGACCACTGCAGCTAGTGTGCTTAAATTCATTGTAGAATCCAGGTTTGCATTGCTGCTTTTCACGATAATATGTAAGGAAGTCCATTGGTGCCAACCTGTATATATACATGTAAATAGGAAAAGCAATATACACTTTATTTTTGAGCCGAACATGGAGATATATAATATCCAATCTGTTAAGATGCAAAATAAACTGAATGTAATTAAGGTATGGTGTCCAAATGTTTGGAAAAAAGCAATTAACTCGAGCGAGTCAACTCGCACACTCAAAAAAAATATTACTTACTTTTACTCAATTCAAGTAAACGAATTACTTAATTTAAGTAATTTTTAAGTAAAGAAGTTTGTCACCATAGCAATCATGATAAGTAATTTATCATATTTATTAGTAATTTTAAGTAATATAATTTTATGGTTATGGAAGCAGTAACGAGTAAATAAATTACTAAAAATAAGTAAAAAAAATGAATTACTTAGTATTTGAAATACAAAGCATTCTGGGTAATTCAGAAGTGGTTTTGAGTATACATTTACATAATGTAAAATTACAAAATTACTAATCAATTAATTTGAATTATTATGATTTTTTTAAAAGCATTATTAAGGTGTAGTATTCCTCTGAGTGTAGAGCTTTTACAGAATTTTAATAATAAGGACTATTTCATAGTCAACTCATTGTTACCTATATTGCCGTAAGGATGCGTTGATTTCTAGTTTCGATTGCTAATATTTTCATTAATTATTTATAATAGTTTACCTAAAACATTTATACTACGTTTCTTTAAACGGTGTAAATTGAGATATTTCTATCTCTTAACATATACAAGTCATTTAATTGTTACAGAAATTTCAGATGCAGAATTGTTTATAAACATTTTATTAATATTTTGTTTTATTAAAAAATATTTTCAAGGGCGATAATGGATATCTAAGTAAATTATTTTACTGAAAATTACTTATATTAATTTTTTGAATGAATTTTAATATACTTTAAGTAATTAATTTACTTACAATAAGGAATTTTAAGTAATTCATAAATTACTTAGTAATTTTTAGTAATACTCAATCATAGTCAGTAATTGACAATCATATTAAGTAATCATATTACTTAAAATAAGTAAAAAAAAATTACTAAGTAATTTTATATTTTGAGTGCAGGCCCTTCAGGCCTTTGATTTATGTACATATACATGTATTTCTGATGAAAATACTTTTCAATAAACAAATAAAAAGATAAAATGAGAGTACCGATATTAATTCAGTGACTTACTGAAAATATATGCATAATTTACCCATTTGAGGAAGCAGCAGATTTCAACATTGGAATTTTTTACAATCCCTTTGGAATATAATTGCCAAAAATATTAAATGGAATATTCTTGATTTGAGTTAAAAAAAAAAAAAACCTGATCTGCAAAATTCTATAAAAACTTGACAACTAAAAGACATTATCAGCATCAGCCATGTAATACTGTACAAATACATAATTAAATTATCCAGCATCTCAAACTCTTAAAATTTTGAGTGAACACATTAATCTAAATACTTTGTTGTTGTTACGATGTGCTTTCTTTGTCAGCATATGAATTGATAAAAGGAAAGGAAGTGGATAATTTGTCCAGACTGGAGCAAAAACATCTCAGCAAGCGTAGAACTTCATCCTCCAGGTATGCCACACATACATATCTGCATTATCTGCTTATTGATCCTTCCTTTCCACTTGAACACTTAAAATATAAGTTACAGTAGAGTTTTTTTAATTGCAAACACTGATATCTCAAATATTATGTATAAGTTGAAGTGATTTGGCAGTCCCAACCACTTTTTTATCTCTTTATTTGAATACCTTGTTATCTCAAATCCTTCAAAAATCTCAAATTTGAATCTCGGTCCCATGGAGTTTGGCATATCTAGGTTTGACTGTGTAAATGATGCTTCCTCCAATGTTTTGAAAGATTTTTACAAAGTCATGAAAGACATTCATACATATTTGCCTATATCTGATGTGTTCACATTTTCAAGAAAGAAAAAAATGTTCATTATACAATGGGAAAGATTTTGACGAATCTATAAAAATTTGAGTCTGAAGAAAGAACTTGATAATTTTTGATTTATTGTAGTGATTCAGACTCAGGTTCTGATGTTATAGCTGATGACAGTGATGTCAGTTTTTCTGATGACAACCCCAACTATATAAACTACCAGGTGAGTGTACTGACATAATTATTACAGACATAATATCCTAATTGTAATATTGACAGTGGGTACAATGGAAGGTTAAGGTCATTTGATCAGGGTTCAAGACTTAACATTTTTAGGCTTTAGTCCAGCCAGACTAGTGCTAATCTGTGCACAATTTTAAAAGTCCTTCAAAATAAATAAGTAAAATAAACATTGCAATGTATTTTTTATACATTTAAAAAAAAATGAAGCATTTAGGCAACAAAAAAAAATTAATTTCTTGGTTCTCAGACCCTCCCTCATCTCATCCAAGGGTGCTTCATTGACCCTCTTTATTGCTAAATCAATAAAATAAAAACAACAAGTCACCTCCCGCATCATTTTTTTAGGTTTTGTGCAATGTAAAAAAAACTACCTAGTCATGTTTTGAGGGCAATAAAAAGTATTAAAAAAAATGCCTCCCTCCCTCATCATATTTCTTCAACAACAAAAAAAAAGGCCCGAGAACCAAGGAATTAACTTTGCATGGCCTTAAGTGAAATGTTTTACTCCAAGGTTTGTTGAAATCTTGCTATAATTAACAATTTCATTAGTCATGCACCACAGATAAATGACAACATATACAATATTAGTCAGCCATTTTGGCTTGGTTTTTCTAGGATTCTAATGCTATGAACAGCATGATGGCAAGCATTTACAGAAACATGTCAGCACCTAGCACGTCCACCATGCCTCCCTTATCTCTTGGTCCTGGTCCCCTTGTCTTAGATCCTGGGTACAGGAGTCCACCCTCGGCTGGGGCGGATGCTTGTATCACTATAGACGATTCCTCAGAATCAGACCAGGAGGTGGCCTCCACCAGCCAGGGTCCTAGCACAGCCTTCTTTGTGGATCGAGTGGGAGAGAGACCACAGTCAAAGAAGGACACTGACTTTACTGATCCCAGTCCCCAGGGTAAGGCACCTGATGTGTCTGTCTGTCAGTCACCTGCTCCCCTTGTAGAGGTACAACAGGGGGGTCAGAAGAGGGAGAGGTCTGAGAAGACAAGTAATAAGACCGAAGTCAGCGCCAAGGGAAAAGAGACCGAGGATGTGAGCTCAGGGAGGAAAACTCCTAAAGCAAATGTAAGTGTCTTATGTGTGTTATTGGCTGGCAATCCTAAATATAAAGTGAAAAGTTTTGAACAAATATTAAAAAATGAAGATTTTCAGTACTACTGTATATAGATAAAAATGTCACTTTTTTCAGTTGTATTTTGCTCAAAATAGATCAGTTAATGTTTCAAGCCATCAACAGCTCCAACTCTTTTAATCAACTGAATGTTTGATTTTAATACAAGTATATTTTGTTAGAAGTTGAAGAAATCCAGTGCAGAGGGAGAAAGAAAAGAGAAAAAATCTAAGTCAGGTACTGTATTAATTTTACAGGAACATACATGCCAACTTTCCCGATTTAGGCGGGATCCTCCCGATTTTACCCTTTCATCCCGCTTTCCCGATCGTGAAAGAAAAATTGCCCTAATTTCCCGATTTGAAAAAAATCACCCAAATTTCCGATTATAAAAGATTCCCTACCGCTGATTTTTGACAATCGGGATAACAATGTCAAACTTGTTTATTCAATGCACTCAGATAAG